TTGAATGACGTGAAGGTGAAGTCGCCTATTGACGACATTCAATAGAAAGTTTTTAAGGCACCTCGATGGGTTATTTGGAATTTAAATAGTTATTTAAAACATTATTATTTATACCGAAAAAATGTTTCTGTAAACTAATAACAGTTATGTACAAAGTTCGGAATTTGGATTTTAAAGTATTTTCATTTGTTTTTCTTTAGCAAGGAAAATACATTTTTGCTTTTAACGATTGATTTTATATGATATTATAGTTCATCAATTAGATGAAATAATTATTTAGAAATTATTCACTTGCTTGGAAAAAATTCTATCTTTTATCCGCACATTAAGTATATTGCTTGATTGAAATATTCGTTGAGTTAGGGATTCCTCAATAAGAAAGCAATAAAAATTAACAGCATATTTTAATCAATAATAATTTGATTATTTTTTGAAACTGTTCTTGTGTTTTTGCAGCACGTATTGTATTTTAGATTTTATATTAATGTAAACAATTGTATATGTTCATGTTTATCTAGTATTAGTACTGTTTACACATTGATCCATGTATTACGTATATAAATATTTTACTTTGGTTAAAGCAATGGTATATGATTAACTTTGTACTTCATCTTAACTAGTGGCACAACTAGCGGGTAAGTTGATAAAGTAAAACTTTGGGGCCCCTTATTTATCGGGGGCCTTCTAATAATAAAAGTAATTTCTTGACGGACAAACAATAAAATTAGTTTTCTTCCTATATTTTACTATAAACATTTACGTATAGCTTAAATTATATATTTAAGCTATAGTTATACTTTTATTGTTATTTTTAATATCTTATAGAGTATATTAATTATGTGTTATTAATTTAATAATATTATAAAATTATCACCATGAATAAATAATAAATTAGAGCCAAGAATAGTGTTTTAAATATCCAATTTTATTTATGTTTATTCGTTATGGTGACTTGACGAGCCATAGCCGATGTACGGGGGAGTAGTGTCACGGAGACGGTTACTATTAACAGTAATTAAACTTAGGTTAAGCATTTTGTATATGGTTTCTTAGAAAGAGCTTTTGAAATATCAATACTGATTTTATCTTAAAAGTTTATAATATTTCAAAAAAAAATTAGTTTATAGAATTATTTTGAATTTTATGAAAATGAAATTTTTAACAATACAATGGCTTTGATTACTTTATGAGAGTGGTAGAAGCGAGGATTTCTCAAGATCATTTACATTTTTGGTTAGAGGGCTTCATTTTATATTTTACTTTAGGGCCCTCAAGTGTCTAGTTGCGCCAGTGATCTTAACGCATTAGAAATTAATTTCGATAATTTTATAAAATTGAAACTAAGGACTTGGAAGTAAACTTTCTGTATTTTGTAATAAATTTACTGGTTTCGTGATAGTTTTTAAATATTCTGTTTAACATTAAACAAGTTAAATTTGAGTTAAACTTCTAATTCTATATAGTAGCACTCACATAACAAATTACATAGAAAACATACAGTTTTATATTGCTAATACATTTTTTTGCGAGTTGTTTTGTTTTGAACACAAATATTTTTATCGGCAATATTGAAAAAGAAAATGTTAATATTTAGTTTAAATTATTCCGATAAAAATTGCATTAAGTCATTATCTATACGAATTATTAAAAAATATTTTTTAAACTGCAACCAATGATGAAATAAACTATATACTACGAATATTTCATAATATAGCTATTTCATAGTATAGCTATGATGGTGTCCTACTGCATGAGCAGTTATAGTACGTGTATAGTAAACACGGTTAAATTTAAATAAAAATTAACTTACAGTTTACAATACATTTAATTGTAACATCGCTCCTTGATATTGTAATATTATGATATTCATACAATTTCAGTGTTTGTCATCTGCAGGGGTGGATAGACATAAGGAAAAAGGGACTTTCCTTGTGGGCCCCCGCCTTATGTTATGTTGGTGGCCCCCTCGATACTATTAATTTTTTTATGGAAATTTATTATTATTTTTTTTTTATAGTTAAATTATTTAAATTAAATTAGGATGAGTAAATATAATACATTTTTTAAAAGCAAATTTTTTTTTCATTTGGTGGTGGTATAATTAAAATATTTCCCTATAACAAAAAAACTATCTATCCACCTCTGGTCATCTATTTAATAAAAAATTAAAATGTCTTATTATTAATTGATGTGTCCAATGAACTTATACTGCATTTACCAATTTCGATATCAATATCTTACTGTTGATAAGGTTTTTGATAAATTATTCAAATATTTTTTAATGGTTGGGTTGTATCCATCACATCGTTTTGAATGATATTTTAACATTAAATTATTTGAGTATAAAATAAGAAACGATTGTTGTAGAATGCATTTAAAAATGTTGTATAGTCGAGTCAATTGAACTGTATGTTAATCGTCGTATAATTTCTGTGTATCGGTAATTTCGTTAACGATTCCACGTTGATATTCAAAAATGCCAAATACTCAGATATGCTTATGCCTACTGGCCAGGTTGATATTATATGGTAGGTACATGAAACAAATGAGTACGTATTACTCAAAATATAATATTTAATACAATAGTTACATTATAATAGTTGATTTAATTTGAATAATCTACTTGATGGTTTAACACGAATGTTTCGGCGTGTGGTTAACGAAACATAGATTTGGCATTGACCTAACCTTAAAAATTATAAATAATAATAATATAAAAGTGGTCGTTGTAAAAAAATAAGCAAGAATGGTGCACATAGTGCAGATGCGTTCATAATAAATCGGGGTTTAGAATAGAATTAATGTGTACACGAATGTATCGTATTAACATAAACATGTATAACGCGCTTGGCGTACAGTGCATATTGATTGAGAACTTAATCGTTGTGAAATGTAATTTATATACTTGACAACATAATATTTTATTTTTATTTTTTTTTTTCCATTTAACTTTTGGCTGTTCTGGGAATTGATGGGTGGGGCGTATCTAGTGGGGGAAGGTGTAACGGGAAAGGTATAGGTTTTTTTGTTAGCTGGTTATGGATCATGTGTATGGCGTAGAGGAGCATCATCGCTCAATTTTTCGGTAGTTGCATCCATCCAGTATGAAACTGTCCGAAATGCCATCGAACACAGCTCAAGCATATTAGCATACCGATAGACATTGTTGCTGATCTGCGACCAGTAAAAAAAAAAGAAATAACAAATAAATCGTAAATGTCATTTTTTCTGGTGTAATCAGGCCCGGTTCAAATGTTTACTCACACCTAAGCAAATTCAAGTTTTGCCGTCCCATACATGTAAATACTACATCAAATATTTTTTTTTACATAAGCAACACAAAAATATACTTTATTCTGAAATAATTATATTTATTTATGTGAAGTTAACAATTGATTAGATCAATACATTTGTAGACAAGTGAAATGAAACCACTACTAATTTAAATAAAACAAAATAATTTACAGTCTATTTTTGCTACACATAATTTGATATGAGTAGCTACTAGGAATTTTAATCTTTTAAGTAAGTTGTCCAATGCGTAATAACATCTGTTGCTCATTTGAATCTATTTAAGTATCTCATACTTCATATTATTTGATTGGGTGATCATTGTACACAGATATTTAAATTCAGATACTTTTTTGAAACTGTAAGACCCTACCTTTATAAACTCTTCTGCTGGTCTTTCATCCCGTCATCTTCTTACTTCCATATATTCTGTTTATTTTTGCCGTTGTTATAAGTCTTTCGTTTAGACTTTTCACTGTATTTGTGCAACACTATATCGTTTGCATACGCTAAAAGACTTATTGATGTTCCATCCAATTTCGCCCCTTCATCTAGTATGTATTCATTATTCTAACCTTACCGTATGCCTGTGTTCACCAGAATCTCTCTTGATAGTATGTTACCAACTTTGAATTTTACCATGGTATTTTTTAAAGTTGCCTTAATTAGTCCTATAAGTTTTTGTAGGATGATGAAATGTTCTAGAATTTTTTAAATACTTTCATTGTTGATATTATTATACGCCTTTTTTGAAGTCTACAAAAAGTGTACGTAGTTTTTGATCAAATTCACAAGTTTTCTGAAATAGTTGTCTAATAATAAATATTTGGTTCATTGTGGATTTATTTCCTCTGAAACCCATTGATAGTTTCCTATTATATTTTCCGTCAAAAGCTTGATTCTATCCAGAATGCAATACGATAGAATTTTATAAGTCACATTCACTAAGGCACTATAGATTTTACATTATTTTTTAACATTCTTTTTGTGTATAGTAATGCTATATTCCAATTTTTAGGGATCTCTTCAGTATTAATTATTTTTCCAATTAGCTTATAAATCATCTCAATCATTGTTTCATCAATACATTTTAGGATTTGGTCTTGAATACCATCTTCGTCAGGTGATTTATGATTTTTTAATCTCTTAATTTGTTACTTTATTTCTTGTACCATAGAAATTTCACATCTGCAATGCAATTTATGGGTTGTTCTTGTATACAGCCAAAGGTTTCTTCAGAGTCTTCTCAAATAAGCAACTGTTCAAAATATTCTGCCCATCTTTCCGCTATTTCTATCTTTTTTTGTTATCAGCTCTCCATCCTTATTTTTTTATACATTTTTCATGTCTTTTATATACTTTCCTCGTTCCATTCACTTTTTGGTATAATTGTCTATTTCTGTATGCTCAGTGATTTGATTTTACCATTTTAATATTTTTATTTGTGGGCTTCCATCTTTTTTGTAGTATATCTTACTCTATTGAGTTGTTTTGTAGTATTCGCTAACCATTTTAATCTCACCTCGTTTCTTCTTATTAGGGCTTCTTCACACATTGTGTTAAACCAGAGTTTCCTTTTAGATCTCTTTTATTTTCCGATGATTTCTTCTGATATTTTCATAATAATGTTTTTTTATATTTTCCCAACGAGCTTCAATGGTATGGGTCTCATTAATATCTGTTAGCTGTGTTAGTCTCCCCATTTCGGTTTAAAAAACTCTACATATCTCTTCATTCTTGAGCTTTGTTATTTCATATTTAACATAGTAGGAGCTATCAATCTGTTGTCTCGTCTTCAGTTTGATATTGAATTTCCCACCTACTAGGTAGTGATCTGGATCATAGTCCGCCCCTCTATATACTCTTACATCATTGACATTATTCATAAATCTCTTATTCACTAGAATATAGTGAATTTAATTGTCATAATGTTAATTTGGTGACTTCCATGTACTTTTATTTATATCATTATGGGGAAAAATTGTGCTTATTATCTTGAATCCTTTGCAAGTTGCTAGATCTGTCAGTTTCATACCATTATTGTTTGTTGTTTCATGTAAGCTATGCATCCCTATAGTAAAATTAAAGAACTGTATTTTTCCTATCTTCGCATTCATATTACCCAGCATAATTCGTATTTTACTATTATTTATTCTCGACAAAATATTTTCTAACTTTTTGTAGAATTCTTCTTTTTTCTCTTGTGACTTTTCCTCCGTTGGTGCATGTAAAATTAGAAAAACTATGTCAAAGAACTTGACCTTCACTATATGAATAACCATTATATGGTTGATAACTTTAAAAATCCCTTATCGTAAGCATTAGACTTTTGTGTACTGCGAAATCTACCCCAAACAGTCATCTTTCATTGCACTTGTCACATGTCATACAGAATAGTGGTCATTTATGTCTATGGTTCCTTCGTCATTCCATCTGATTTCCTGTAGCACTACTATCCTGATTTTATATTTTTCAATTTCCTTAACTACACTGTGAGCTGTTCCGGGTTGAAACATTGTTCGTAGATTCCATGTTCTAAAAAGTAAATCCTGTTTCCTGTGTCCGTTCGATTTTCTATCGAATCTATATGTCCGAGGATTATTGATGATTGGTTGCTGAACAATGATTTTTCAACAAGGTAGGATTGTTGGCCCTACGCTTAACCCTTGGATAGGGAGTCCAGACCAACCCTTCCAAGTCAAACTGAAGGCTATTGTTACATACTTGCAGTGTGTTGGGTAATGGGTGTGCCACATTCCCTACGCCATATTTCTACTGGAATCGTCCGCATGGGACTTTCCACCAATAGGAGATCGGGGCCCCGGGTTCGCCTAACCCGTAGTGCTAATTACTTAGTATCCCCTGAGAAAATTGTACCAGTTATCATAATATTATCAGTTGTAAATTAAATTACTATTATTACTATGTGATTGAAATGATATTAATCGATAAGATAAAATTTTCGTAAACTCATTAAATAAAAACCAATTTGCGTTAAAAATATTTGTACACCATATAGGCCAAATATATTATATGTATTTAATGCTCACCTACTATACAATAGGACGGAACACAGAAAAGATAATCTGTTCGTTTTTTTAGCATATTTTCTGTACACGTTTAAAAATCATTTTTGATCTCGGCCTCTGAAAACACGCAGTAACGCTTCATTTGAATCTTATTAAAAATCATGCCTAATACGGGTACAATGGGAAATAATCGGTCACTGTTATTACATCACTGATTGTTCCATATCAGTTAACCAACCGGACCAGATAATATCACTGGTGTCTATCATCAACTATTTATTTATTTAATAAATAATTTACGACCACCCGATTCTTATTTTGTTTCAAACGTGTGATCAGTGATTATTTAGAACTATGCTAAAATAATTATAAATAACCACGTTCATCAATTTTTTAATAAGAAATCCTGAACTTCACATGACTTTTTATTGTACAGCACTTATAAAATCGCTGTATTTTTGTTAGCGCATTGATATATTTGTTTTTATTTTATCGTTATGACTATGATCGACTGCACGATAACTGTGTATTATATGGATTGTAGTTCATGATTATATTTGACATACTGGCATTGACTAATACAGACAAATGGTAATGGAAAACGGGAAATTGTCCTTCGTAATTTATTTTTTTTTATATAAAATGTCTTCTAAAAACCGTCAAATATACATTTTTTTTTTTCAAAACCTACTGTAACGGCTGATTTATCTAATATTATTCAAAATATTATATTAGAAGAATTTATTTAAACTAAGAAAACAGTTTTTCCAATAATAGCTCTTTGCACAGTGATATTAGTAGCCCAAAAAAAAAATTTGTCTTTTACTCATAACTATTCTGATATAAGTTTATTTAGTAAAAGAATATTTTCACAAAATCATATATTAATTATATATGATATATAATTATATTTTATATATTATATTAATGATATATTAAATAACGTTTGGGAATCGGAAATAAATTATAAAATTCCAATAAAATCTCTTATTTCTGGAAAAGATAAAAAGTGAACTATTTTAAATATCAGTATTCATGTGATTTCCGTGTATGTTGTGTTTAACAATACAAGATAATTCATTTTGCAAATTTTGTGTAGTGTTTTCAAAATCTTAAAGTGGAGTCAACTCTCAAATATTAGGCAGTCTTGTGTTAAAGAAATTTGATAACTGGAAACACGCAGATGAAACATTTAAAAAACACTCGTCATTAGAATATCATAAATAAAATTTAATTAATATAAATTGCATATTTACATCAATATAATACATTAATAGAATTGCAGTCATCTGTTTTTTTAATATAAATAATGCCTATTGAAAAAATGTTATTTTTCAGGACTTCTCCAAAAAAAAAAAAAAATTGAAAATCTGCCACTGCCTTAGGGTGTGCCATTGCACACCCGGCATACCCAGTAGATCCAACTACGGAATATGTTATACATATAATATATGTATAATGGAATATTATATCGTCACGCGCAAGATGAACGCGTGCCCGGGGAAACAGAGGAATTTCCGGTGAAAGTATCAAAGATCAGATGCCGTGGATGTCCGGTGTACCTGTAACGTGCTCATGCTTAGCAAGGAGTTAAATTGCAAAAGCGATTAGGCATAAAATCTGAATGCGTATCGATGATATTGAGTTGTCTACATTTGGAAGTTGTTCTTACACATTGGTAAAATCCAATTCACCTATGCTATAAAATATACGTGGTGTTAGAAAAAAAAGTCAACGCACGTCAATACGATGTATTCGTAATGTTTCGTTCATATAGTACCATAATTATACATATACAAACATATCTAGGTGATGCCGATGCATTTATGATCTATTTGGATGGATAATATCGATTTCTTCGTGCGATTTGTATACAAAATACAGTGGAATTTGCATATAACGATCTTCAAAGGGTCTAGAGAAACTGATTGTTACATCCATATCGGCTGTAGCGGAATTTTAAAAAATGAACTTGATATTTTTGAATAATTGTTTCGTTAAACAATTGTTACCATATAACATATTTATAACGAAGAAGAAAACTACTTTTAATATTAATAGATACCCCTAAAATATTATGTTTACCTATTTATATTTATGATTTTTTTTTGAAATACAATAAATTATCGAGGTTTTTTATAATTAGAACAATACGATTTTTTTAACAAAGCTTGTGATATTTTTAAATGATATTGATACGTTTGGAATACTGATGTCAATATTCATCGAAACAAATGTACCATTTTAATCAATAGAAAAAATGAATTTCCTAGATAAAACGGTTCTTAAATATAATTTCTCTGGTATCGTCGTCAATCTGTTCAATTTTATCCTCGTTTGAATTAATTTTTATTGGTATGTACAGTTAGAATATCATAAATAGGTAAATAAAAAAAATCAATTTCCATTTCCATATAATATCGTTTTATCCGTATTACGGTTGTAACCAATATAGTAACTCGTATATACTGAATATGAGAAATAAAACCAATCAAATGCATTGCTATGAAATGATATACCTAGAATATCGTAAATACTGAAGTGACAAAAATCTGAAACTAAAAATTCGGATTTCAAATTTTAGATTTTATGCTAAAAATTCAGATAATTTCGGATTATTTCATTTTAAACGAATTGTAAAATAAAATTTCATTTTTAATTATTATTATTATTTTTATTATTTTTCATTGAATTTTTGAATTATGAATTCGAATTTTGTATTTTTGTACTTAATTTAAATTGTTGAGCTTTCATGTTGTGACGGTTTTGAAATTATATTGATCGTAATAGATTTGTTAAAACTTGTTTAATTCTAGTTGTGATTTATTCCTGAATTGTATAAATTTACTTTACTTATTTTTTAATGCATTAATTTCATTCAAAAATATATGTAGTCATTATGATCTGATTATAAATAATATATAAAAGAATCCTAATTTACAGTTGTAAAATCTAAAATTCTAATTAAGAATGAAATTCGGATTCTTTTACTATCACTAATCTTTACAAGCGGATTCGTTGTATAATAATAGATAATGTGTGCCGCGTGTCATATACTCGTACGCGAGTACGCCATGATACATCGTGTATACTTAGTAAATCGCAGTAAATGAAATGAATAATTGTTGACTATGTACATTCTTGAGATGTTTTAAACGTTATACTCCGGTACTCCGTATTTGATTATTGTATGACGTTTCATAACAATGGTAAGTTTCCAACGTTTTGGAAATTGTTTACATATATATTTTTATTTGGAGAATAAAATCGTATTCATACATATATTTACATATAAAAATTATATGCATAGAGTATTTAGTGTTGTTTTTGTTTGAGTTAACATTTATTTAGGAGCTGTACATTTTAATCTTTATTTAAAGTAATTAACATTCTATTTTTTTTCTATATTTGGTATAAATCGATAGATTTACTTACTTTCACTTAAATTTAACGAATAATAATATTAATCCGTTTTTGTTTGACTTATTCCGGTGAACAGAACTGATTTTCTCTTTTGTTCCATTTACAAAAACCAATATTTTAGTTCATTTAATTTGTGTCAGTGTAATAATAAGTATAGTGAATCATAGATATCCATTAAGAAGGTTTTAGTTATTATAGCATGGAATTCGGCTGCAACAAACGGAATTTTAAATAAAGCTATTTTAATTAATAAAAAATATGTACTTCTTGTAATAGATCACTTGCATAAGTTTGTAAAATTATATTATTTTGTTATACAGTTATTTGATTTGAAAAATGAATAAAAAATTTTCCAAAAAGAAATGAAGAAAATGTTCGAACATTTGAAAATAACGAATATACCTAGAATCTATAATATTTATAAATTAATATAATTATGATAGAATTATTTGTTTGCAAGCAAGCTTGTAGTGAGTGGACGAGAAGTGTATACTAAATACACAAGAAATGTATATTATTATATATATTATATTGTACTTTAATATCATGTATTAATATGTTCGTCTGTGTATTATTGGCACTAGGTAGATGGTTTTTATGATTTTGAATCGAGTTATCTATTATTATTCTCTTAATAATAGCCGCGTATTGCATATTACACACTAGTATACTTATGCACTTTGTGATTATGGTTTACCGATCGATTCCTGTAATCAATTATATTTCAAATATGATTATACCTAATAATGGTAGGATGCGATTGAAAATATTCGAGTGCAAAAATGCAAACTTTATTTTTTCACTTCCGTTTTGATAGAAATTACTTCATATTGTATTTGTAAACGTATTTTACTATAAAATAAAATATTGGAGACAACATCAAGATGTTAAATTATTATCCGACTGAATTTCCGTGATATTCGATACGTGGTAGTAGTGTTGAAATTTTAAATATTTAATCCGATGAAAATCTTTTAAAAGACCCTTTTTTCTTTTTTTTTTTAAAAATCTTTAAAAATATTTATATATTTTATTTACCGCCCAAAAACTCGGTGGCATTCTGTGAGTATCGTTATAAACATGTTTATTACCTACATTATGATTTAACATGATAAACATTCATTAACATATATCATATCATTAACATAATATATGATCATTCATTTGGTTTACAAATTCGTTTTAACTAGTGGAATGACACTAGATTATACGCGAAATGTGAAACATGATTTTTTAGATTTTGAAATATTTAGTCATTGTAACTTTATTAAAAGTGATGCGTCAAAGGAACATAATTTAAAGTGTCACACACCGAAATCCGGATTTAGAGTAAAATTCAGATATTCGATTTCAGATTTCAGAAATCCGGATTATTCCTATCACTGGTTTCTACTCGTCAGACGATTGCCGTTTCCTTATGTATAATCCTAATACAGTTCTAGTACTACGAATTTCGACTTGCCGTCCAACGCCCGAAAAATTGTATTGCACTTAGGTATCTATGTAGTATAAATCAGCGGTTCTCTAACTTAAGAGATGTGCCCCTCTAGGTAAGTATGATAAAATTCCAGAAGAGCGGAATGTTTTTTAAAAAAAAATAATGAAACATGAAAATGTTATTTATATTTAATCGACACATTATTAAATCACAATTAATTGGAACTAAGCAGTGCCAAACCTCTCATTAATTCCTATCTACTTAATAATAATAAAATTAAAGCTTAATATTAAGAAAGTGAATGTACTATAATCTGTTTTAATAATTTTAAATAATAATAATATTTTTTTCCTAAGAAATATATTCATTAAATATTCAAAATAACTTCATTGGTTTTAATATTATCAGATTCATTCAATAACTAACTATGAAGAAATGATTTGAATTGCTAAAATTTAGACCGAATCTGTAGAATTAATATCCAAGCAGGAAATCAGCTGCTCAAAAAAGTGGAATATTTTAAATACCTAAGCAGCTCAATTAACCAAGACGGCTGCATCATGGAAATGAGATACAGAATTACAGGAAAAGTTAATTTTTATTGATAAGAAAAAAATGTTATGCACCAATAGCATGAGTATTCGGGTGAGGAAACGCTTCATAAAATTGTGTGTATGGAATACGGAGTTATACAGCTGCAAAACCTAGGTACTAAATAAGGCACAACAACAAATCCTTGAAAGCTTTGAAATGTGGTGTTGAAGAAGAATCCTGCGGGTGAGTTGAATGGAACTAATGAAAGCATAATTAGTGAAATAAACGAACGCAAAGAATGAACTCCAAACCATTAAAGACGATGAAACATGATTGGTCACATATTGAGGCACCAAATCGAACTAGTTTATAGAATAATAAAAGGGAAAATTTAAAGTAAGAGAAGCCAAGGACATTTGAGAACTTCATTTGTCGATCTCTGATACTGGACTGTCAGGCTACATGGAACTAAAGAAGTTAGCTGGAACAGGAAGAGTGAAGAGCGAATGTCCGACTGCGAAACCAGCCATAGATTTAAATACAAGAAGATGATATATATATATATGTATATTAAGCATAATTAAATCTTATTATGGTTGAGAGGATGGCGTGACAGTATTAAATAAGATGAAAGGAGGCATCTACTTCAAAAGGTCAAAATCTTGGTATAAATTAACTTAAATTTTTAAAACGGTCGGGCGAGTAAAATTTTTAACAAGCATTCTTCTGCATAGCGCGTCGCACATCATTGAAATGGAAATCGCCGTCCATGCATTATAATCGGATGCAAAAACGAAATGTTGATGATCTGCTGGCACAGCACCTAGATACAGGTCTTGAAGTACCACCCGAAAAACGTGAAAACGTAAAAAATCGACTACGACGGCGGACAGACGGTCGTCCGTGATTTACGGCGTGTGAATCCGATCGCAGTGACGTAGTTACGAACCGGGTACGGTATCCCAACAAATCGTTTTCCTTGTCTACAGGAATATATTATGCATCGTATGACGTACTACTACTACTACTACTGTGCACTACGCGTACGATGATAATATGTGTGTATAACGTTCTCAATGAACATTACACGATGCAGTGACGTTTTAGGCGCGAGATAAATGCGAATTTAACGCGATGTATCTAAATGTTATTGATGCGTCGAGAAATCATGCGGACGTACACATTAATATTATAATATTTACATTACTTGTACGTGGGTTTATTTTTTTCCGTGGCGCGCAAGTAAAGTGTAAACACTAGCGCTTAACACACTTGTGTATGCCGTATATGTATTAGTATGTAACGGCTCGCCGTATTCAGTTATATTAATATTATTGTTGTTGTAGTGGAAAATATTTTTTTTTAATTTTTTTTTTTTATGTAATTTATACTAACGAGTACATCTTCGAAAAACGATTGTCCGAAAAACGCGTTTGCGTCAAACCGTGCGGTTGATTACGTCAAGATTCCTGTACAGCGGTACTTTACGTAGTTTACACACCAGTTGGGTTACCTGGCCCCGCCCGGGAGATATTTCGACGTTCTAGATCGGAGCGGAATGTACCGTTTCGATGTAAAAAATAATTTTAGATAGAACAACCGTTGTATTTATTTATATTAATTTTATTACAAGCGTTTTAATTATTCAAAATCAATTTATCAAACAAAAAAAAACATTACGTAAATTACAAAAAAGTAAAAAATCCACTCATCCAACCCAAGAATATTTTGACCCTTGAAAATATGATTTTTGAAAAGTCATCTTTAAGTGTGCACAATTAATATAGTATAACATAAATGTACATAAATGTATAAACATTCCCTGTGAGTTATCCAGTTAAATGTATTATATTTCATATACTTATAACTTTTCTTGTACTGCATGAAGATTTCTCCAATCATGATTCCTTTATGGACTAAACGGAATATTCAGTAATACCAAGAATCTCATTAGTATGGGTATAATTTACATGAATGAACTAATGATATAATAATAATAGTGCATTCCGATTCTTAGAAGCTAAAATAGTATCGACGTGCAATGGGGTGATGGAATCTACGATTAACAGTAAACTAATAACAATAATATTAACTTTATCGGCTTTCCATAGAAATTCTGATTTAAATATTAACAAAATGTTCAAATTGTTTACTTGTTCGAAATTCAGTTCACTAGTCTCGAAAACTGCCGTTCACTCGTGATGTTTAAGTCTTCAAAATTACCAACAGCTTGATGAATAGTTTTCTTCGTCCTCTCTTTTTTTTACCTTTTCATGATTGCAGCGTTGGTTATATAATTAGACCAACAATTTGAAAGTGTTATACCTTTTTATTATTTTCCAATAAATTTCAACAAATTCAAACATTTTCCAAGAAATCGAAGTAGAGTTCATCGGAATGTTTTATCACTTTGTGAGTACCAGCTTCACGTAACTTCGGAAATATAACGTTTAATTGGTAAAAATGACTATTGTTTTCTTATCTAATATTCATGTAAGCACAAAGCGTAAGTATACGTGATATAGCCGTACGGTCTGAACGTTTCGAGATCATTTTTGTGAAGTGCGTTGCTTATGTTGTATAAATAGTGCCTATGTTGACCAAGTCGTTTCAAAAACGCGTCGTCCTTGCGGTCAGCATTCGTAAGATACACCGACATCGTGGTCATTGACCACTAAGATAATATACCGCGATATCACGAAGGTTCTTTACGAGGAAACAACTTTACGTGGTGGATATTTTTTCTTTTATTACTTTAAATTTTAGGTCAACGGTCGTTTTGTCGTCTGCTATTTTCCGCACGCATGTATCAGAGGTGGAACCAAAGTTAGATAACTGTGAGCCAGTTTATTTCAAAACGCCACTTACTAGGGGCTGAAATTGGATAATAATTATATGCCTTGAAAAAAAACATAATATGATCATATAATATGTGTTTTTAAGTTTATATATAATCATTAGGGTTTCGATTTCAATGCGTTTGCATATTTTTATTGGAATGTCTTATAAGATACTTTCCAAGCTACAAACGTGTTTCAAATATTTCATATTGTAACCACAATTTTTTTTTTTTTTGAGGATTTTTATGCATTTTAACTTGATTTTATACTTTTTATAAACATTTTTATGTTTTCAATGTATTTTTTTAATTATTTAAGACATTTTTGATGTATTTCTCCTTTTATGATTAAAAAAATTTAAATGAATATTGTACTACGTAATGTAAATCAATTTCATT